ACTACCATTTTGGCCACCAAGGCGGCCGGCCCTTTCTTCTGACCCGTCTTAGGGGAGAGAAAACGTCCGTGAGCCGGGAGATGCTGTCCTTGAATAACTGCCACTTTTGCTCCACGGAGAGAACGCCGTCTGTTGACCACTGGATTACCTCTGCTGCTTGCCTGAGAGCCTGTACATCCAGCTTCCTAAATTCCTTCCTGAGCTTGTATGGTCCTGGGGGAGGGTTTCCCCTGATGTGAAACCTAAGTACTCCATGGTTGCTTCGCCCTAGGGGAGTAGAAATCTCGAGCTGTTTCACATCATGCGGCATCTTGGTCAGAACTAGATACAACTTGCTGGGCTTTTGCCCCTCCCACCATCTAGTGGGTTGGTTGATGTGCTGCACCAGGAGTAGCACGGTCATTAGGTCCACTAGTTTTCTGCCGAATTCAGAGAGAGTAGCCCATAGGCTTTCCCAGTCTACCTCCGGAGAGTTGAAATCTCCCATGATGAACATCCGCTCCGCCTAATTGTTCACCCTTGTTAGTTATTCGCACAATTGACCATCCTCCTCCTCGGCCGAGAGTGGTGCCCTGTAGATACCTGCTACCGTCACTTTACAGTTCGAAATCGCATGTAGCATGAGCACGCCTGAATATATCTGGAGTGGACATATGCTCACCATCAGACTGAGTCAGGGTGTCCGGAACAAGGAGCAAAAATAATAATAATAATAATGTATATTTCACGAAACGCGTGAAGCATGCACAGGGCATGATCATATGTTCAATATAGTCATATGTACAACGACAGAACAGGTAAATGGATAAACTACTTGGGAGACATACATACTGGAGATGGTATGGGAGCGAAACGAAAACGCTGTGTAAACGGAGCACAGAGCGGACAAGGTCACAAACGATGGTGTGGAGGATGGAAAAATGTGCAGTATAAGCAAATCAATCGGAATTGAAGTCACTGATAACCCGTTATCGAGGGGATTCGGCGTGCAGCTCTAATGGGA